AAATACCAATAATGAAGTGAATTACAGAAGCTCTCCGACAGATATTTTGTTGGAAAATAAATTATCATCTGCTTCATTAGAAATTAATTATAGCTTAGATAATGAAAATCTTGCAAATAAGGAATCTAAAAAGAGTAAAAAGCACAATATTCTAAAAACTGTAATTTCAAACTGTAATAGTGAAAATAAAATGCCTATGATTTCCCAAGACCGTTTTAGAGTAAAGAATCTGCTAAATTCTTTGGACTTACTTGACTCTGAAAAATCATCTTCTATTATTAAAACTGACCGTAATTTAAAACGTTTTAATTTAATGAAGTATCTAACCAATAAAGATCCTTCACTAAAAAATCATCCTAATTTTAAAAAAATAAATGAGCATTTGTCTAAAAAAATCAAGCAAGCTATAAATAAGGAATGTAAAATGGGAGCATCGGATATTTTATTGTTAAAAACAGTTGGGAAAATTATTTTGAAAAAAATTGTTGAAAAAATTGATGCTGCACAGGTATAACACTTGATAGCCTTAACATTTTTCTTAATTTTATATAATGTATACTCTATTTCACCTGAGAACGAGTCATGTGCTGACCAAAACTAATCGCTTCTGTGTATCACCACACTGTAACTTTCTAATGTCAATACATATTATATACCATAATGGCTTGTTCTCTCATGAAACAGAGTATAATACATACTTTATATATTTTTTATTTATTTCACCTAGGATTTAAAAGGTTTAATAATAAGATTACCACCTGAATGTTGTAAAAATAAAATTCATTTTTTGGAGACTACGTTATGTAGATTACCAAATAAACACAAAATGGATATTATAAAGAAGCAAAATCCTCTGATCAAACTAGGAGTATTTAATAAAGATGAAGATAATATGATTCAGGAATATTGGTCAAAATTTCAAAAGGTATGTTTTTAAAATAATTTATTTGATAAAACTAGAAAGGATACATGATCACAGCTTCTATTAGTATAATGTGCAGTGGTGCAACTAGGGCTAAAATTCTGAAGTCTCATTTTCAAATTTCTAACACCTTGTGACAATAGTGGCACCAGTCAACATTCAAACTGCTATTGTGTGGGGTATGTGGAAAAAAAGATGAGTTTTACTGTTTTAGTAATCTCCCATTAAGAGGACGCTTTCCCCGCATGTGTTGTCTCCGTCTTACAAGTGCATAACATTGCAAACGCGGTTTCGCGCAGGAAAGAACCGAGAAAGATACAGTTATAACTAAGAAACAAAATTTTACCACATAATAAGGAGAACATTTACTGTGCAACATTGTTTTCGACTTTTTGATATCACAAATACAAAAAAGTTCTTATTGTTTCAAAATTCATTATTTTTGCACTTTTCAAACTCGAATAACTTTTTTCAGTTCTGATATCAATAAAATAAAAACAATGTTACACTGTCAAATTCCCCTTTATCTATGGTGAGAATTTTGTTTCTTAGTTATGACTGTAGCCTTCTCGGTTCTATCCCGCGTGAAACAGCGGGTGTAGCGTCCTCTTAACATTCATTTTTGGCTAAAAATATGGTTCTTATAACGAGGTAAGGTACTGGAAGAGAAAGTAGAGTATTGATAAGTAATTTGAATATAAAATCAGAATAAAAAATGTTAATGTTTAAATTTTTTTTATTTGTTATAATTAAATTTAACTTATGCCTTATTGAATAATTTATTCGTAATATTTGTATTATATTTTTATATATATTTATATATTAATAATTCATTTTCAGGAATACAATATTTCAAATATTCTACCATTCTTATCCAATGGATTAGAAATGGCTTTGAGTCCTATAGAAAGAATGCAATTTATCCGTTATATATCAGCTGGACTTCCTAACCGATTATTATATTCTGTTTATAATAGATTCAATTTGCTGTTTAACAAATACCAAAACAAAACACCGTAAGTTCTCTATTTCTCATATAAGTTTGTTAGTTTAATAATGAGTTTTATATTTATAAGTATTTATAAAAAAAAAGCGGTTGAGTCGTGGATGTTGCTCTGCTGCACAGTAGGTTACAAGTGGGTTGCTGTAATGGATGGAAWTAAATTTGAATCTAATGATATTATATCATTGCATATGAAAAACGATTCTGAGCGAAGATGGTTTATATGTCTATGATATATTATAGATTATTAAAAATTTTCAAATCTTAGATATTAAAAGAAAAACTTTTATTAATTTCTATCTAAAATAATTTGAACATTGCCGTTATTTTTACGTATTTAGTAAAAATTTGAAGTATAAATGTTTATAAAAARAAAATCGTGTCTATGAATTTTTAATATTTTTCAACTGCTATTGTAGCAATGTGTTTGAAGCCTGATGTTACATTTTCAAGCTTTTCTACCCAACAAATAAATTGTTATCGATATTTATAGAAAAAAGTTGAAAAATTAAAATGTCAGTAAACAGCTCAAAACAAATTTGAAAATTGTATCAAATATAGAAAATATCTATATAAACATTCGGTAAAAATTTCAAGTATCTGCGGTCATTTGTTTTAGAGTTACATCAAAAACCCAAATCGATTTGGTCGAAAACTGGTTGTGCGTAAAAATTCCCATTTTGCCTTAATTTGTTGTAGGTTTATCCAGATTATTTAGAAAAAGTATTTTTTACTTTTGTCCCCCTCAAAGTAGTAACTAGATTCTTCACTTTCTGATCGAACGAGGTACTGAAGTCAAAAATCGTAGCACTTTTCCTGCCCCAAAATGTGATGATAGCCATAAAAAAAAAAACACATTATGGTAAAATCAATACATTCATCGCTCAGAATCTAAAATATTAGAAATATATTTGTTTATGCTGGGTTGACCACTTTAAACCTGTAATAATTTTTTTCAAATCGAGTTTTATAGAAATTAAAATATTCATTTTTAGGATATTTTTTAAATACTTCTTTTAGATGCTGAACAACAAAGTAGCTCATAAAACTAATAACAATTCATTYGTGGTTTAAACATAAATTATTGTTATGCTACATTTAACCACTGTACACTAATTTAAATATGAGTGAATATGAAAAACAAATTAAATTTCTTTAAATGTTCACAAATACAAATTTGTGGTATTAGATTGAAATTGTTGTTATTCAGTATAGAATTTGTAATTATATTTTATATAAATACCATGTTTTAAATTATCATTTTTTATGAAATTGAAGAAAAGCTTTAACAAGGTATAACAAAATATGTGAATTTKGTAAACACAAATTTTTTATATATTAGTTATTTATTTATTTATAATTTTACTGTATTACTTTCATCTGTAGTTTTAGTGAAGAAGAAGACCAATTAATTATGAAAGTAGACAAGTGTGATGCAATTAAAAACAAATTTTCAGTACTAAGTTTAATTTTAAACAGAACTAGAATACAGCTTTACAGAAGACTTGAAGTTTTAAACGATCAACATATCAAATGTAAAAGTGAGTTAAATCATATTAATATTAAGAAGTATATTTAAAGGTAATTTGTAAATTAAAAATATTTTTTCATTTCATTAGAACTTTTTTGGGACGATCAAATGCGTCAAGAATTATTTACAAAAATTCTATTAGTAACAAATACAGAACACTGGAAAGATTTGAAAAAACGGACAATAACAAAATATGAATGGATTGAAATTGCAAATGAACTTGGTGAAAATTTCACTTATAAAAAAGTTAGATACCATTGGATATATTTATATACCATGTTATTTTGTGAAAAACCTATTTTAATGTCAACATTCAACTTAATTATAATGGATTTGTAAGTTTCTGATCCCCAAATATTAAAAGTAATATTAAAAATTATTTTCATTTTATAGATTAGAAAAAATAAATCCTAAGCATTGGTCAGATTTGAATTGGATAGAAATAACTAATTTATTATATCCAGGTGCAAACAGTAAAGTTATTTGTGGTTTTTTCCATTCTTGGGTTAGTAAAAAAGTCCCATCAAACATAAAAGAAAACATTAGAGGTAAATTAGTACTTAATTTAAAATAAAATTTATATTACAAACACTGATGTCATAAATTTATTTATTTTTTATTGAAATTTACATTAATAAATTTCCCCTTTGACAACACAGGCCACTAGCGTTACATTTTTAGTTAAATATAATTATATAATAATAAATATATGGTATATATCTTAAATAATTTTACAATATTTTAGTTGTGACTTATTATTTTATTTTATTCATAGATACTTTGATTTATTTAAGAAAATATGAAGTGGAAAAACTACAACAAAGAATCAATAAAAGAGGCGAAAGAGAATTTCCGAGGCTTACAGTTAAACATTATGATTTATTAGTTAATAATAATGAATAAAAAAATAACTTACTGATATATATATATTTTTTTTTCTAAACTTGCAGTACAAAATAACAGTCACAACACACGTTTTTATGTTTTTTTTTTTTAATATATGAAAAAAAACAAATTAACATTTTGTTTCCATGGCTGTCAGACTTGTGTAGATAACTAAAACAGTATGACTATGACCCTATACCTAGTGGTGGACTAGGATCAGCATAGGGTAATTAGTAAATTTAGTGGTTCACATATTTTATAATAGACATAACTGTAACAACATTTAATTTGTTAAGCAAATTTAATTCATAACAATTTTTAAAAGCAGTGACGATAAATTTTACTTATCAATATATTTGACGTAATTGATAATTGATAGAAATCAGAGAAGGACTTATTATCAAAGGCTCTATAAAAGTTTCCATCCCTCTAAAACATTTTGTCACTATAATATAGCAGCTATATATATATAACAACAAGGCTAGCAGAAATAAATTAGAAACCAAATTTAAATATTGATACTATTACTAGTTGAACATACCATGACAGAAAGAAAATTAACAATTTAAGAAATATAACTAGGAAATTTCCAAGTACCTACATCATATATTTTGAAAACAATTATTAACATTTAAATCAATTTACTCCAAAATAATATTGTTATTTTAAAAATCTGTGAATATCATTGGATTCAAATTTAATTCCATCAATTTCAGTAACCCACTTGTAACCTACTGTACAGCAGAGCGACTTCCACGACTTATTTTATTTTTATTTTTCAGTATTAACAAAGTAAAATATTGATCTTCGCTTTTTAAGCAAGTGTCTTTAAATAATATATATAATATATATTATAATTGAATTCTTAATTAGAAATAACTGTTTAATTTATTATGCCTTTTCTTTACACCTTGTATCAACAGTTATAGATGTATCAAGAAACTGGATTATAGTTTAAATAGTCAAAAAACAATTTTTATATATTATTTTAAACTATTTAATTAATTAAATAATTGTGATTTGTGTAATACTAATGGGGAACTTAAATTTCACATAAGCAACAGAAGACGAYTTTGATAAAGGTTGGGTAAGTGAATCGTAAGAGTAAATACGCGATTTATTCTATTTTAATCAACTAAACTGTTCAAATACAAAGAAACATTAAAAGGTTGAACAAGTAATTTATTCTAATATGATTAGTTTACAAGCTAAATATAATTAATTAATTTTACAGCATATTCCAAGATTTTATTTAATCACTAATATACAATTTTTTTCAACATGAAGTACACAATTATTGTTTATACTTATATTATATTGAATATTTACCTACAAAAGATAGAGTTTTAAATATGTAAAAAAGTTGGTTCTTATTAGAGAAAATGAAAAAATATATGATACCTATCACTTAAAAAACAAATCAATAAAATAGTTCTACCAATTAGCAACCTTATGTAACAAAATAATATTAAATTATTCTAGAGAAAAAGAATTTTAAATTACCTACATAGTACATTCCTTCAAAGAAAATATAATAGAACACTGTACTTAATTATAAATAATGTTATACATATAGCATAAGTAATTATTTCCTAAATAATCGATGGAAAATACTACCCTTGGCTAATCCTTTAGATGGTCCTTTTTTTAACTCCATATTTGGTCCTTTTGCTAATGAATGAATTTTACTCAACAATGATTTATTCGGGCCTTTGGGTTTCACTCTATTTTTTTCATCATGCTCACATTTAGATGAGGAATTTTTCCTGCAAAGAAAATATATTACTTAGTAAAGTTATTACTTAGTATTGTTTGGTAACAAATAGTATTTACCTCAATAATTCTTTATTGGGACCTTTTGCCAAATTTTTTTGTGTACCTTTTGCTGCTACTTTCTGGTTCTCAAAATGAATTTCACTAAACCCAGTTAAAACAATATTTAATAGTTATACTATAAATCGAAATATAAATTTAATTAAAAGTAATAAAACTATGAAAAAAGCAATACAATTGAGTATAATATATTATACCATTTATACTAAATGGTAATAAGTAGTATTTTTACATAATTTTTTTTTTTTAATTGTGTATATTTTGACTTAAATACATATATTTATAATTTTTTTCCAAGAAATTGTTTATGAAACTTATTTATATTTTTTACAAAAGAAAGACCAGTAAGTGAGATGAGATATTATAATGAATGATTAATAAATAAGAATATATGGAACCAGTGTTAACCATTAAAAATAAACCAGATTAGGGAATATTATTAATAATTTAAGTAGATTTCTAGGCCGATTTATTGTAGTCTTCTTAGGATATTACCAAAAAGCATAAAACTTTWATACAGTAAAGTGGACACTTACACAATGTAATCTATATAATATAATAACAAAATAATAATAGCAAACCTAACGTGCCCATACACCCCAATTGTAACTTCTTCTCCCCCTAAATAATACCTTAATGCATATTAATTTTTTAATATGCTTCAAAATGCAGAYATGACGTTTACTCGTTCCCATTCTACTATCCTTTTTGACTGCAATATCTCTGGTTTGACAATTGAAGGCGTTGGATAATCTCACCGACCTGGGTTTTAAAATAGCTAAAACCCTTAGTCCAAGTCTTAAGTCAATATTGCAATGATCACTAGTAGAGCATTTAAAGTTTTAGGGTTCATTATGCATCTATCTAAAAACTTTAAATTGTCAAAATCATAAAAATCATTATATTATTTTGCTTTAGTTCATCCTATTTTAGAGTACGGGTCGGTTGTCTGGGATCCGTACACTGTTTCTGATATTAATCAACTCGAACATGTTCAACATAGATTTTTTAGATTTTGTTGTTTTGTGTTAGGCATTCCCTAGTATTTATCCGTGCAGCGAGTCCTTCTCCATAACTAATGGGTATACCTAYCATGGACACCTAAGTACCTATAACAGCCCTCACAAAAACAGGCCCGTCGGGAAGATTACTGATTACCTAATCGGCCAAACCTTTCTCGGTCATTTGTAATTCAATAATTTTTAAACGCTTGTTACTAAACATATAACACAAATAGTTCCTTACCAGAAAGAATTGTTTGCTTCAGTTTTAGARTTATTGATGTTCATTACAACAAAACTGCCAATTGTGTCGGTACTAGAATTTTCCTTTTTGAGTTTACTATAATAGTAAATAAAATTAATATTAACTTCTTAAATTATGTATTATTAAGAGAACGCCACACCGGCATG